CAGTTTTTTAAAAAACCTTTTATTTTGTAGTCTGTAATTTTTGTTTTTTTGTTCATTATTTTGTGTGTTGCTTTAATTTCTTCCAGGAATACTTTATTTCCTTATTATTGACTTCACATTATAAACCTTTCTCCATTTCTCCATTCTACCAACAAATTTTAGTGTTTAAATGGTTTTTCTTCTACTGTTTACCTTCAAATCTTTAAAAATACTTAAACCTCTATTATTTTACTTACCTGTGTTAAATGATACTTTTTGCATCTCTAGTTGACTAAGGTTTGTTCCGTTTGTTCCTTGTATACTGTTTTTAAAAGTTTGGGTTGTGAGTCCTTAGTGGGCCTGTGAAATCCATTTAGTCAGTCATGACCAGCATGTTTTAAGAAATTAAATAGAAAAGAATGGAATGGACGAAGAATAGCAATGTATCTTTCCTAGCAATAGTAAATATTTCATTAAATTCCTTTCAGGATAGATGAATATAAATATAGACAGTGAAATCTGTACTGGTACTCAATGTAAATTTAAATGTATTTACTACTGTGGGTGGCAGTACAAATAAAAGTTTGAAAACAAGGCTCTATATCATCTAGTGCATTGGAGTTAGAATCCCTGACTTATTGTAAATATAGTTAACCCTTGAACAGTACAGGTTTGAACTGCACAGGTTAACTTGTATTCACCTTTTTAAAAATTTGTACTGCAGTACTACATGATCCACAGTTGGTTCAATCTGTAGATATGGAGGGTGGCTGCAGTGTTATATACAGAGTGTCTAGAGGATCAGCACCCCAACCTCTATGTTGCTCAAGGGTTAACTGTATGAAATATTTACCTGCTGCAGCTCTAATTTGATAAAACTTGATCTTCTTTCCTGGATTCTTAAAGGATTCTTTCTGTATTTTGAAGGTCATTAGTTTTTCCTAGGACATCATGCACTCTTGACCTCTAGATTCAAGTCTTTTATTTCTAAGCATTTGCTTGAATTACATCTTTGAATTTATTTGATTAGACTCTCCTCTTTACAGCAATCTATAATGTATATGTTGCTGTCCTTTGTCTATTTTATAAAGCTATTATCTCCTTAATCGTTTTAAATTTTTCATTAATTTACAGTTATTTGCCTTGCTTTCTCAATCCTATCCTCCATGTCTCATGTTGTTTTTTCAGCAGTGACTAATCTTCATGCTGCCTTTTAGAATGATCATTTCTTTGATGTTTTCATTTTTCTCTTCCATTTCACTTTCAGCCTCTGTCAACTCATGTTTCATCATTGTTGCTGTGCCATGTTTTCCTGTACTCTTGGATGTCCACAGGTTGACTGTTCTACTACATTTTCTTTGAATGTATTGTTGTATTTTTTTTATAATTTTCATCTTTTCAGTATTTTCTCATCCATCATATGCTCATGTTACTCCTTGTCTTCATTTTTGTTTGTGTATTTTACAGATCCTATACTACTTTTTTATTACTGTTATTCCTACTACTCACCTTTGAATTGAGTTTTTTTTAGACCATATATCTGTGGGATAGTTGTGGCTAGGGCATCATTTGAGACTAAAGGGAATTCTGTGCTTAACACAGAAGTTCCACATGGCCTAGAGAGAAAAAATAAGCAAGTGAGAGAAATCGAGAACACCTATTCATTTAGCCTGTATTCCTCCCTAGCCTGCAGAGATGGGCAGTCAACGGTGCCTGCATTTCAAAATCTCTCTTCTCCTAGGACCTCACCAATCTACATGCTTCAGGCAAAGATATTGATTCTATATGATTCCTCACTGGCATTTGCCCCTTAGTCGGAGAGCTATGATCTGCTACCCTTACGTACCATCTCTGTCATGCCACAGCCCACTGGATCCAGTTGCTTAATGTAGCCTGTCCAGATATTTTGTCACTTGGAATTTCAAATGACTCCTGATTTCATCAAAGATTGGGCTTATTTTTTATCTCCCAATATCCTTGCTGTTCAGGGTGATTTCTGAAAGGATAAGGAGAAAAAATATTCATTGTTCCATTAAGTTAAAAGCAAAAATTCTTTCTAACTCTCCAGCAGTCTTTAACTTTGGTAATATACCTGCCAGTATGTACACAAAGTTAGACCTTTCAAGATGAGGAGTTTGAGGGTTACTGGGATCGAACTAGGGCCATGCAGTTCAGGGAGAATGAACGTATAGTCTTGAGCCAGAATTCTACATATACTGAAGCACTGATTGCTGGCTTTTATCCATGCAGGTGAGCTTTTATTGCTCTGTTGCTCTTAGTAAGATCTAATTCCATGATGGTGGTTTTATTTACAAGCTGGAGTTTAAGTACTAGACTGTTTTAACCTACACTGGAGGAACTACAATGAACCACGCCTGAGAGAAGAAGGGGAAGAGGGCCAAGAAACACACCACTCACTGGTCTTAGGTTCTGCTTACCATAAATTGAATATTTTTGGCATTATCTCTTTTAATCTTCACGACCATTCTGAGCTGGAATTATTATCCCTCAGATGGAGAAACTGAGGCAGAAGAACCTAGGTAACTTCTCAAAGTCACAGATTAGAAAGAGTAATTTTTTTAACCACTTTTCTGCCACCCAGGTTACCATGTTCACTGAGCTAAATGTGTCTCAACTGGGCTTCTTTTAAGATAAAACTACAAGATTCACAAAAGGCCTCTGAGATGTTCTGTTTTCATCATTCAATCCAACTGATGCTGCTACTTTCCATGGACTAAGGAGCCACGTCTCTTGAGCAGCATCATAATCACAACCAACACTTAGCTCAGCATGTTTTAAACCTGCAGTTTGTGGCCATCACTTAGTTCCTATGAGGTAGGTCATTGTCTCATTTCACAAATGCAGTAGCCCATGCACAGAAAGCTTAAATGATTTTTCCAGGGTCAGCAGTGGTTCCAGAAGAGAGAAAGAGGTGAGATTGGGCCTCTCCATTCAGGCTCAGCCCATACACAAGGACTCTGCTAACAAGAGTTCAGTCATCTCGACCCTCTTCATAACCCACCCTATGAAAAAGACACCTTCTTTCACTTCTGCTGTCTCAAGGTGCAGTCTACACCTTGAGAAAGAGAAGGGTCAAATCAAGGCTTTTATACACAGAAAGCTTGTTTTCAGTATTTGGTTTCAATTATTGCAGACCATGAAGCAAAGGCCATTTTGGTTAAAAGGTGCTAGTAATAACATTTTCTGGGCTTCCCTGGTGGCGCAGTGGTTACGAGCCCGCCTGCTAATGCAGGGGAGACGGGTTCGAGCCCTGGTCTGGGAAGATCCCACATGCCGCAGAGCAACTAAGCCCATGTGCCACAACTACTGAAGCCCATGCTCTGCAACAAGAGAAGCCACTGCAGTAAGAAAGCCCGCACACTGCAACAAAGAGTAGCCACTGCTCGCGGCAACTAGAGAAAGCCTGTGTGCAGCAACAAAGACCCAACACGGGCAAAAATAAATAAATTAAAAAATTTTTTTCTTTTAAAAAATTACATTGAGAAGAGTTATGGGGAAAGGAACTAGGTGATTTTGGGAGGACCGTCAAGCAGTAGAAAGTTAAAAGTATTTCCATTTGTCTTTTGGCTGTTATTAGTTTCACCAAGAGAGTACATGATAGATAACCACACAAAATATGGCTAGCTTTAAAAAATGGAGGAGAGAGATCATATGCAATTAGCCTCCCCCCAAAGGCCTTATTTTTTTGAATTCTTGCATTATAATGGAAATAGCCTCAGATTTCACCCAGTGGGGTCCACGCATTCTTGGAGAATTTCTTATTTTTCTGCTTAACTTAAGAGACATTTTAATATATAGCATTTCATATTCAGTGCTGTTTGGAGGCGGGTAGCAAGTATGCAAGCAACAAGAGAAAAAGAAAGTACACTTGATATGAAGGTAGGTGTCTCAGTGCTTTTCTATTTCATGTGTGATGTCCATTATCTCTCGTGATAACTTTGTTGACAGCACCCACAAATGTATTTGGTCCCAGGTTTTATAAAACAGATCCATAATCCTATGTTTAGGCAACCCAGATCCTGACACAAGTCAGCCTCAGATAGATGGTACATTTTCTGTTATAAAGAACTCAAAACATTTCACATTCTTCTTTGGGGGAAAAAAATGACATTTGAAGTCCTTTTTCAAAGAAATACATTTTGAGATAACAGCTCACAAACCTTGACATTATTTCATTTTGTTCTGCACATCTGTCAAGGAACTGAGATACACTACAGCTACTAAAAACTGATGATTGTGGAACAGAGAAACTTGACAGCATTTCATTTCCTTTATGTTCTGATTATACATTTAGCAGAAAACCTTTATTTCTTCCAGTTCAGCTAGAAATTGGTAGAATTCAAGAACTCAAAGGCCTGGCAAAGACCTGTCTTATTATTTGGTATCATCTTTCTTTTTCGAAGTTGCTTGGTTGAGTCTTTGTTAAAGCTTTTGATTCTCTTTTCATTCCTGTGACCCATCATCCACAGATCACATTTCTATAGGCCCTATAACTGCTCTGCTGCACAAATTAAATGCCAGCATATTTCATACATATATGCCAGTGTTTCAATGCTTGTCAGTACAAGTTTATAAAATATAGGGATGACAACCTGATATTAACATCCAAATCTGGTGTGCTCACTTTATGTGTGAAAATGAGAAACCCTTTTCAGACTAGATTTCCCAGCCTGTCACCCTGTTTTTAATATATCTCCAGGTTTTGAGTCAGTAAAATGATTCTGCTTATCAATTTAATATAGTGATAAAACATATCTGTGAATCAGAATGATCAGAACTCAAGTGGATCTACAGGTTGTTTGGTATTAAGCTCAGCCCCATTGAGGGTTTTAATGGGGCTACTTCCTCCATAGAATAAATACATCCCTGGTTTTTTAAATTGTGGCTCCAGTAGTGATATGATTTGCTTCACATAAAGAAGTGGACCTAGAAATGCACTGCCTTAGGGAGGAGGACTTTAAAACTTTTAAACATGTTGTTTCTGTCTTTTTTCCCCTCAGGTGCACTTCAAAATGACATAGACAGATATTACTCACAGTGACCATGTGGTTATGAACGCTTCCAATGGACAGCCCTCAGCCTTAACAATTTTTAAGTCAGCACCGTGATTCTCCCATGAGGTCAAGTCTATTCCGAAGGTATTTCTCCAATAGTTTTTGCTCTGCATAAGCTACACTGTACTTTCTTTACACCAGCAACAAATACTTACAATACAAGATGTTCGTTTATTTGGATTATTTTCTCCAACTTCACCCAACGATTCTAAGCTCTTACAAAAGGATTATTTTTCTTACCTAAATCAGAGGTACAGGCCACCAATAAAAGCTGTCTCCCAGTTTTTGTGCCTTGACAGACTCCAGAGACAAAGCACATTTTCTAAGGTGCAAGACAAAGCTGTCACAGATGTTTCTTACTATTCCCCAAATTATATACCCCTGGTCCAATTATATCAGGGATTCTATTTAGTTGACGTGTGTGAAGTTGCCATTTTGTCTCACCACTTCCGTTAACAGAACTGGGTTCCATACCCAAAGACCTCTGGTTAAAATAGTAAGAGAAAACTAATAGGAAAAACAAAAAATATACCTTAGTTTAAGTGACATTGTATGAGAAAGAGGCATCCCCTCTCCAGAAAAAAAAAAAAAAAGATATAGGGTTAAAATACAGAAGGACAATATTATATGTTCTAAAAGAGAAGGGAGAGAAAATATACTTTTTCAAAATAGGAGCCCTTCTAGGGGATTTCATAATGAAGGACAGATGTATGATTGATTGTCTTTTAGACTGAAGATCTTAATTTTTTTTATTGTGGTAAACTATATATAACATAAAATTTGCCATATAACCATTTTTAAGCATACAATTCAGTGTCATTAATCACATTTACAGTGTTGTGCAACCATCAATGTCTGGTTAGTTTTGGGTAATTATTTTAGGACTATTCAGTTTGTTATTTCTATAGAGTCATTTTTGGTACAATTTATTTCTCTAGGAGTGGATCTCCTGTGAGTTTTGAACTTGACTGACATAAACTTATTCACAATATCTTATATGTTTAAACTCTGCAGCACCTATAATTGTGGTTTTTTTTTTTTTTTTGCTTTTTAAGGCTTGATTGATCCTTTCTGGTTTTTTAAACATTTTCTAGTTCATTATATTATTCTTTCTTTCCTTCAACTTTTCATTTATTTTGAGATTTTTTTTCCTCAATTCTTAAACTGGAAACTTATATTAGAAAAAGAATTAAGTTAAAAATTAAGTACATAAAGCATACTTTTGTTTCCTAAGACCCACCTTAGCTGCAACCTACAAGTTTTGGTGCTTAGCACTGATCAATAACCCTAGTATTAGGTAATTTCTAATTTAACTCAATTATATCTTTTACCCATGAGTTATTCATAAGTATAATGTCCTCTAAATTTCAAATGCTAATGTACTTTTTCTATTAGATTGAACCATGTGGAACTGCTAACATTCAACCTTTTTTTAACTTATAAAATGGCAGTTTCATATGGTTCAACATAATAGTTTTTTTTTTTTAATAACTTTATTTATTTTTAACTTTGGCTGCGTTGGGTCTTCGTTGCTGCGTGCAGGCTTTCTCTAGTTGCAGAGAGTGGCAGCTCCTCTTGTTGCGGAGCACAGGCTCTAGGTGCGCACGGGCTTTAGTTGTGGCATGTGGGCTCAGTAGCTGTGAGCTCGTGGACTGCAGAGCGCAGGTTCCATAGCTGTGGCTCACGGGTTTAGTTGCTCCGTGGCATGTGGGATCTTCCCGGACCAGGGCTTGAACCCGTGTCCCCTGCATTGGCAGGCAGATTCTTAACCACTGTGCCACCAGGGAAGTCCCAATAGTTTTCTTTTGTTATTAATAGGTAATTTCATTTTGGTCAGACAACATTAGATTGAGGATTTTAAACCAAGGTAACCACATTTACCCACAAAGTCCTTGTTTCCACCATTTTGTATTTCACTTGGTGATTCTAAAATGTTATATGTGTAACCAGTAATTTTCAAATAAAAATCCTCCCCAAGTACTAGAATGTTTTCTGATACATGCTGCAAGTTGGTTCTCTGGGATACAGACCCAGATGGAGTTTAGTGTTGGGATGTTTATTAGGGGTGCCCTTGGGACCAATACTTGCAGAAGCGAGAGGGAAGAAACAAGTTAGGGCAGAGGGAGAAATCAAGCTGGAACACTGGCCAATGACTTTAGATGACCCCATGGGGGCTCTGGAATGAAGACGGCCCTTCAGTGTTTCCTGACATGTCCAATGGCCAGGCCCTTATACCTCCACCTTGATGGGTCACTGCATAGAGGCTGCCCCCAGAGGAGCTGATGGCTAAAGACTGCCCACTAGCAGCACATCCAGCAGCTGGGGCAACAAGTCCTTGAAGGGAGGTCTGGACAGTACCTCTCCATGCCCCCCCATGGCATGTGTCACAACTCCAGAGGTAGATAATTAAAATGTACTGTGGCAGAAAACTCTTGGTGACTGACATTTAAGTCAGAATGACTAAGTGATCCTCCTCAATACCCTGTGGTCTAAAAAAAGAGAAGAAGGTCCATGTAGGGGAGATAGCCTCACTCTCTAGGGTCAGCCCAGTTTTCACCTCTTCTAGGAAGCCACCCTTAAGATCCTCATCCTAGGTAACTCATATTTCTGTAATACCCTGACCGCCTCTCATTTGTTAAACTGAACCATACTTGGTTAGTATCCTGTTGTTGCTATCTTGAAATAATTTCTCAACAATGGACCCCGCTTTTTCCATTTTGCACTGGGACCTTTAAAATATGTAGCCTGCCCTGACTATGAGTATTTGTAGGTGGTCTGTTTTCTCACTGTTAGTTCCCTGGTCACAAGAAAAGAAAGAATGGAGTGCTCATGGAATAGGCAAGTCCAGCCTGTATATAGTTTAAAGGGGGGATCAGGTCTTGAAATAAACCCACACACTACTCATGGTCAGTTAATCTAGAACAAAGAATATAGGCAAAAATATACAATGGGGAAAAGACATTCTCTTCAATAAGTGGTGCTGGGAAATCTGGACAGCTACATGTAAAAGAATGAAATTAGAACATTCTCTAACACCACATACAAAAATAAACTCAAAATGGATTAAAGACCTAAACATAAGGCCAGACACTATAAAACTTTTAGAGGAAAACATAGGCAGCACTCTGACATAAACTGCAGCAATGTCTTCTTTTGATCTACCTCCTAGAGTAATGAAAATAAAACCAAAAATATGCAAATGGGACCTAATTAAACTTAAAAGCTTTTGCACAGCAAAGGAAACAACAAACAAAATGAAAGAAAACCTATGGACTGGAAGAGCATATTTGCAAATGATGTTTTGACCAACAAAGTATTAATTTCCAAAATATACAAACAGCTCGTATAGCTCAGTATCAAAAAAAACAACCCAATCAAAAAATGGGCAGAAGACCTAAATAGACATTTCTCCAAAAAAGACATAATTGGCCAACAGGCACATGAAAAGAAGCTCAATATTACTATTAGAGAAATGTAAATCAAAACTACAGTGAGGTATCACCTCACACCGGTCAGAAAGGCCATGATCAAAAAGTCTACAAATAATAAATGCTGGAGAGGGTGCAGAGGAAAGAGAACCCTTCTATACTGTTGGTGGGAATGTAAATGGGTACAGCCAGTATGGAAAACAGCATGGAGGTTCCTTAAGAAACTAAAAATATGGGCTTCCCTGGTGGCGCAGTGGGTGAGAGTCCGCCTGCCGATGCAGGGGTCACGGGTTTGTGACCCGGTCCGGGAGGATCCCACATGCCGCGGAGCGGCTGGGCCTGTGAGCCATGGCCACTAAGCCTGCGTGTCCAGAGCCTGTGCTCCGCAACGGGAGAGGCCACAACAGTGAAAGGCCCGCATACCGCAAAAAAAACAACTAAAAATAGAGTTACCATATGATCCAGCAATACCACTCCTGGGCATCTATCCGGAAAAGACGGAAACTCTAATTCAAAAAGATACATGCACCCCGATGATCATAGCAACACTATTTACAATAGCCAAGACATGGAAACAACTTAAATGTCCATCGATAAATGAATGGATAAAGAAGATGTGGTATATATATACAATGGATTACTCAGCCATAAAAAAGAATGAAATAATGCCATTTGCAGCAACATGGATGGAGCTAGAGATCATACTAAGTGAAATAAGTCAGGCAGGGAAAGACAAATACCATATGATATCACTTACATGTGTAATCTAAACTATGATGCAAGTGACCTTATTTACAAAACAAGCAGACTCACAGATACACAAAAGAAACTTATGGTTACCAAAGGGGAAACTGGGGGAGAGATAAATTAGGAGTTTGGGATTAACAGATACACACTACTATATATAAAATAGATAAACAACAAGGACCTACTGTATAGCACAGGGAACTGTACTCAATATCTTGTAATAACCTATAATGGAAAAGAATCTGAAAAAAATATATATGCATAACTGAATCTTTGCTATATACCTGAAACAAACACAACATTGTAAATCAACTATACTTCAATTTAAAAAGATACTAAGTCCTTCTTCAAAAAAAATAAAGGGATCAGATCCTGCCAACAAAAGTGCAGGTGGTAATACCTAGTGAGTTCACCTGGCCACCACTCCTCACTTGCGCTCTGTAGGTGGGTTCCCAAGCTGTCTTCCCTCATGTTACCCACAGGCACTCAGGATAGCCATGCCTGTATGTGTGTTTACATACAGGTAATATTCCAAGACTCTGGGCGCTGCAAGGAAGCAACAGTACCTAGCACTCTTCACCTTCTTCACCTTTATCAATGGCCCTACACCTACCATGAAAAATTATAACCCATTAGATAACAGGGACTTCCCTGGTGGCGCAGTGGTTAAGAATCCACCTGCCAATGCAGGGGACACGGGTTCGAGCCCTGGTCCGGGAAGATCCCACATGCTGTGGAGCAACTAAGCCCGTGCGCCACAACTACTGAGCCTGCACTCTAGAGCCCGCAAGCCACAACTACTGAACCCGTGTGCCACAACTACTGAAGCCTGCATGCCTAGAGCCCATGCTCCGCAACGAGAAGCCACTGCAGTGAAAAGCCTGCGCACCACAACAAAGAGAAGCCCCCGCTCGCCGCAACTAGAGAAAGCCTGTGTGCAGCAACGAAGACCCAACACAGCCAAAATTAATTAGAAAAAAAAATTTTTAATTAAAAAAATAACAAAAGAATCGATGAATTTTTACTGCTGCATAAACAGGAGAGAAGGGAAATATCTTGTATAATTAAATGCAAAGAAATACAGAAGGAACAATGGATGCAGAAAATTATCCACTGAAGAAAAAGCTAATAGGTGAAACTTTGATGTGGGGCACAATATTGACATAATATCAAATTATCTCTCTGCAAATTACTTATTAATTATAAAAGGAAAAAACAACTGTACAGAGGATCGCCCCCAAAACCTATTCAAATCCATTATGCATTATTTAAATGATTTAATATGCAGAGGTATCCCAAAGATTAACACCATTTTACTGATTTTACAGGGTAAGGAAATTTCCTAGGCCAGACAATAGCCACCCATGAAGGCAGAGATCACTATCCTCTTATTTATTGTGTCATTCCCAGCATAATATAGGTACAGAGGAGACGCTCAAGAATCATTTGTTGAATAAGTGAATGCCTATGAATTATTAAAGAAGCAATAAGAGAGACTGAGCTTCAGATTTTGCTAACCCTGGTAGGTTGGCACCTCTAAAGCACCCCAGTCCAGGAGTCAGAAGACTGGTTTCTAGTCCCAGCAGTGGTACTGAGGCCTCAGGGCCTCAACTGTCCCCCCGATCTCCTCCTCCACTCCAGTTCAGCATCTCCATGACCCTTAATATCTCTAGGTCTCAATTTACTTCCAAAACCAAAAGTATAAATCTGTGAGCTTTACCAATAAACAGGTTTGAAACGTGTTGGCCCATGTATCTTACAGTTATTTCCTACAGAGAACACTCAGGGAATTAACACTAGGACTTACCCTGAAAGGCCCTCTTTAAAATTCTGCTTGCACAGGAAAAGATGCTCAAAATCAGTAATAGGGAAATGCAAATCAAAACCACAATGAGATACCACTTCACACATATTAGGAGGGCTACTATGGGAGGAAAAAAAGGAGAAAAGAAGGTTTGGCAAGGATGTGGAGAAACTGGAACCCTTGCACACTGATGGTGGGGATGTAAAATGGTGTAGTCACAAAGGACAGAAACTGTATGATTCTACTTACATGAAGGTACTCAGAGCAGTCAAATTCAGAGAGAAACAAAGTGGCACTGTGGTTGCCAGGGGCGGTAAGGAAGGAGAGTGGGGAGTTAGTGTTTAATGACACACTAAGGCAGAATGAAAAGAGTTCTGGAAATTGATTGCACAATGATGTGAATATATATAACAACACTGGACCAAATGCTTAAAAGTAGTTCAGATGGTAAATTTTATGTTGTGTGCATTTCACCACTATTTTTTTTAATTAAATGAGAAAAAAAATTCCACTCGATGTGCCTCAGGTAGAAATCTTCCTGTGTCAGAGTCTAGACTTTGCCACTTTCTGCTTGTTATGACCTTGGACTAGCCACATAATGTCTCAGTATTGACCTCTGGCAAATGGGGAGAACACATGGAGATGACACCTCCCAAGGCTGCTGAGGGATCAACTGAGAGGATCAGCGATGCTCTGAACAGGACAGAGTTCCACGAAACAAAGAGCAGCCTTCGCCACGACAGCGCTCTTGAGTAACCCCATGTGGGCCCAGCAGAAAGCCTCTGACAACTTTAATAGATGAAGTCACAACAATAGTAGAGCCTGTTGGGAAGAAGACAGACTCCTCTTCTTTCCCAGTAAAGACTCAGCCAGTGAAAAACTCTTTTCTACAGCCCTCCCAACTTCCTTTTGCTATGTGTAAGAGTTCTTCTTCCCTTGTCCTTTGGGGACTTGCACGTGACTCCATGGTGGCAGACCTTGAATTGCAACTCTCTGCTGATCCCAAATAAACTCATTTTCCTGGAGAAATATCTGACAGTCTGTTTGTTTCAGGTCAACCAAAGGAAGGGAGTTAACAAGATCTGGGGACCCCGGAAGACTCAGAAAGGCAAATTATCCACTTGACACATCTGAGTGGACATTAGTTGACACCTCTCAGGCTGACCAGATGCAGGACTACAAAGACCCAAAAAACCAAGAATAAACTACAGGAGATAAATTTGTTACACTGTTTATTTTGTCATAAAGACACAGTAGAAAATTATAATACACCTTCAGGCTGTTCTACATTTGCTTGGGGCTGTAGTTATTATATAAAATTACCAAAACTCATCAAACTAAATGGTTAGGAAAGGGGAAGAGGTCAAGGCCAGAGAAAATGCCCTTGAAAGCTCACCCAGTCTCCATCTACATCATTTGGATTTCTGACTGTTAACGAAGAACAAGATTAATACAAGTGGTATTCTGAAAATAGTGCAAAGAATCCTAGTTTGAAATTAAACATTTCTATGCACTCATGATCACTAGTTACAGAGGGCCTAACAGGACCAACCTCTCTAAAACACCACAGCACTCAGCCAGTTTGCATTCCCCCTTATGTCATCATCTTTCTGAGATAAGAGTCTCCAGAGAGTTTGTCTTGACACCAGTGGCAGTTTCCACAACTGCATTCCCTTTGCAAGGTGACAGTTCACTGACTGAGGTGTGGCCAGCATCGGGAGAGCCAGGATTTAACCACTCCCTGATGGGCCAAGTGCATCTGGCCCAAGACACTGTTCAACCCTCATCTCTTGGGACAGGTCCTGCACTAACCCCCAACCTGCTGGCCTCCGAGATGAGGGTGGGAAAGAAGTGCAGAGCACACCCCAGAGGCCTGCAGTGCAGGACAGTGGGGACATAACAAAGGAGAGTCTCAGCAGACTGGACAATCTAGTACCTAGCTGGACACAGTTATAAACTGTGCCCCTTACTTTCAATGACGGGGGAAAGGAAGAATTAGTCAATAACCCATGATGGGGAAATGGGATGTTTCGGAAAAAACGGGGCCTAGCTTACTTATATCAAATACTATAAGAATTTCTAGCTGCCTTTATTGTTAGATAAGGAATGATAAAAGAGCTACAATAAAATGCTTATGGAGATTTAGATGATGCTGGGATCTTAAAAAAGACATAGTACAAAAGCAACAGGAGAAAAAAAAAGCTCAATATAATTAATGATATATAATTTAAAACCTCTAAACTAAATTACAATACAAATGAAAATCTGGCAAAATATTATAAGCACTACTGCAAGTTATTTCAAAAATATAAATGCCTCATAGGAAAAAACCCATTAGAGACAATTCAAAAATGACAGATTGCTCAATATACACAAAAACTTCCATCTCTATAAATCAAATAAATTCAAATTAAAACTGTCTGACATTATTTTAGACTTTAGACTGAGAAAAAATGTAATTCAGGTACTCAAAGTTGACAATGAAATAAGCACACAAACAGCTATTAAGAGGGCAATTCTGTCCAAACCTGATGGAAAACAATTTGGCCTTTCACCAGTTAGTCTGCTTCTAGGAATTCAGAAAAAGGAAAAATGCACCAAAGTACATGGTCACGGATATGCATCACATCATAATTAGAAATAAACTGTGTTAAACAAAAATGAAAGACTGCATAAATTGCAATACCATGTTTCAAAGATTATGTAATGCCCATAAATAAATGTAAACCACAGAAAATTAAGGATTCAGGATTCAAAATTGTTTAGTTTTATAGAAAAGATGTGGCGTGTGCAGATGTGCGTAAAGATTTCTAGGGGAAAGACTAAGAAACAACCAAAATATCAGCAAGTGTACTTGGCTAACAGAAAGAAATCCTTATTCCTTTCTTCTTTTATAGTTCTAATTTCTTACAGAAATAGAAAAATATATATTCTTTTCTAAAGTTCACAATTACCACTAGCCATAATGTATGACTCCTCTTAGACCTTAAGTCCAAACTGAGCTGTGAAAACACTAAAACCCCAGTGAAGCTGAAATGGAGCAGGACCCTATGGTCCTTCCCCCCGTGTCCTCTGCCTGCCTTTTGTCTGTGGAAAAACTTTAGCCAAAGCATAAGTTTAATCAGAAAAGTGAGAAAATACAGAAGCAAAGGAAAACAGTCAACCAGGACAAAACAACAGTTTAGTCAGTAAGCAAATTCAAGGACCTTTAGTGCCTCCTCAAGGGCTAAGATCATATTCTGAGCTGTAACCTGTGAGCTGTCTTATAGATACTGAAACCCTCACCAGGTAGAAGAGGTTGACTACATGATGACCAGGCTGTAGCCATGACATAAGTTGCCACAATTCCAAGAACTGGCCTCGAAGAAATGGGAAGAAATGGGAACAAACCAACCCTGGGACTGAAGATTAACTGTACTTAAAACAATCAAGATGACGCTGGTCAGACCACCAGTGACCAATTTCAAGATGCCTGTCAGAGCTGACCGTGCTATTTCTGCATGCAGCCCTCTCCATCTGTCTATGAAACCTCTTGCCCACTGAATGTCGGGGTGGGGAGGGGGGAGTCGGCCTTCGGACAGGCATCTGCCCTCCCCCCCATGACAGCATCCGAAATAAAGCAAACTTTCCTTTCCACCAACCTTGCCTCTTTATTGGTTTTTGAGCGGCGAGCAGCCCGACCCCACTTTCGGTTACAAGGTCATTAGTATAAAAGTCAGTAAGCTAGTTACTGGCATCATTTACAAGTTTAGAAAACAGATGAAATTTGAGAAAAGCAAATACCCAATGAAAAGATGAAAACTCAGTTTTTCTCTACAAAATGGGCCTCATCTCTGGGCAGCACTTGCTGGCTGGGCTCATTTCAGCTTTCCCGGGGCAGTGAGAGGGAGACACAAGGAAATCACTAAGGTACCTCAGACTTTACAGACAGATGGTAATCATGGTCAACATCTAACCCCTTTTTAAAAGTTAATACTGAAATAACAATGCCAATGGGAGGAGTGGCTTGAAGCAGTGGCCAGCCTCAACCTTCCATCAGAATCACCTGGAGCACTTGTTTAAACACCACCCCCAGAGTTTCTAATTTTACAAAATTGGTTTAGAATGAGTGCGGGGCAATTTGCATTTCTAACAAGCTCCCCGGTGACGAGGACGCTGCAGGTCTGAGCGCCATACTTTAAGAACAGCCACCCTAAAGCTTGGTAACAGAGATGTTTCACTTGCATCATCTCCAACAACAAGAACTTTAAGAACTTCCCTTGAGAAACTCCTGTCTACAAAAACAAAGGTGTGTTTGGAATCGCCTTTTCCCTGCATTTAAGAACAAGTATCCACATCGAAGCAGCTCAGTAGAGCAGTTACATACAGGGTGAACAAGGGCTCGGGAGCCAGACTGCCTGGTTTGGGATCCTGCACCACCACTCACTAGCTGCGTGATGGTAGGCAACTTACGCAACCTCTCTGCTTCAGTGCCTTCAGCTCCTTCCCCTCCAGAGGGAAAACTGGAAATGGGTGCCTACCAAAATCAGTGAGAAGTCTTCACCTTCCCATTTCCATGCATACACACTTTGAAAATCCACAAACAGAAGATGCTTCAAGTGTTCCTTGCCCTGCCTGAAGTTTGCCCACTTTGCTATTATTTACGTTAACCACCCCCCCCCCATATTCCTTCTAGGCCCCTCTCTCCTTAAGGGCCACCATATGACCAAGAGAGGTAGCTACACACACTGAATACACCACAGTCAAAACAAGCACTGGAGCTCCCATCCCCTGGGGATCCCATAGGCTGTCCCATAATAAAAGGAAATATCAGAATTTGGGAAAGATGAATGGGTTAGGGTCCAGTAACAAAAAATCTAATAATCACCCAAATGTAATTACAGTCCACCTAGTCAGTAGTTCCAGCTACCAGATGGAAAACTTTAGTTAAAAGCTTCAGCTCTCTGAGCCATTTTCCATCTGTAGGTTTCCTCCCAGTTTAGGGACCTGTCAGTTTCAGGACCCTAGGACTCCTGGACAGGACCACCTGCATCAAGACCATGCACTGCTTCTCTGAAGGCCAGTGATCTGGATAAGACCCCACAGGCTCCGGGGACCCCATCCCCTGAGTGGTCCTCAAAGGTGGAAATGAAACATTAACAATAAGGAAAGGGCTGGTCATATATAATACACATTCCAGTCGTGGCTGCGAGTCCCAGGCAAATGCAAAACATGTTCAACAACAGTGTCCCCGTTCATTAAATACAAAAGAGTGATTTTTACCCACAGGTAATTTGCTACCAGTAGGTACCAGGACATACAGTGAGAGACGCACACGGAGAGAGGGAGGCAGAGAGACGTGGTCATAGACACAAGGACAGAGGGACCAGGTGGAGGTGGAACGCAGCTGCCACATAAGGAAGACGGGAAAAGGTGGGGGCATTATTGGAAGATGGCAACAGTGCAGGGCGCTAATTAGATAAAGGAAGCTGTTCATAAGCTGCTTGCTTGGGGGGGTGGGGGAGGGAAGCGTGCAGTTTTAGTTCAGAACTGCGAATTCCTGAGCAGTACTGGTCAAGCGGGATAAGGGTGGAGTGCGCGGGGTCCAGTCTGTTCTCCCACTGGGCAGTGACTCCTCCTGGGCAGCCTCGGTTCTCTACTTCCCGCCTCCTGCTCGCCCTGCTCCCGGACGCTGCAGGCTGGCGGGGCGGCAAAGCAGGGAGACCGGTGCCCAAGCCACCAGGTCTCCGGGTCCCCCTTCCCCGGCCCTGCTCCCGCCCGCCCAGTGTTCCCGGGCGCAGGCCGAGACCAAGTGGCCGGCGTGGGGAAGCCCCACCGACAGCAAAAAGCCGTCCTCCGCCCGCCAAAGGCGCCGGTGGCGTCAGGCACTGGCCCCCCAGCGGCGGGATGTTGCAGCTCAGGCGGAGCGCGCACCGTAAGAACACGCAGGAGCAGAGGTTCGCCTCCTGCAGCGGGCTAGACGGCACCGTCCGGGACACTGGCCGCTCCTGGAGGCGCCGGCGGGGATGCTGGATACCGGGCCGCCTCGCTGGTCCGCTGGGCGGGAGCCCAAGGACCACCTGCTTCTGGGAGGGGAGCGCCCACGGCCCACCGGTCCCTGCCTCCCGGGGTCGCCTCAGGGGCGTCCGCTACACGCCGCTGCCTCAGCTGCTGGGAGCCGGGTGTGGGGCGGCGGGACGAAGGGGCGGCCAGGCGGAATCTGCCTGGAGCCACAGGGAGGTACGAGGCGAGGGGCCAGAGCAGTTGATGGAGACGGGTAAGCCAACTGCGCAGCACAGCGGGTCGGC